TTTTCTTCGACAGAAAAATCTCAAAACTTTGCATATTTAAAATCTCAAAAATACAAAAATCTCAAAACTTTACATATTTAAAATCTCAGAAATACAAAAATCTTAAAACTTTACCAGGAATGCGAACCCTGATCTCCCGCACGAGAGCCAGGCATTCATACCTGTTCAGTCAACCACTATCTTCAACAAACACAATCTGTCAAAGAACAGCGCATAGACTTCATTGAAGGTTAAGTGTGCGTTTAATGCTAAATCTACGACATCGGCAGTCGTGTCGCCCGTTGGCACCGCGGTAGACGACTTCGTCGCCAGTCGGAACAGTAGCTGGATCTTCTCCTTTGATAGCATTAACACTGCAAGAGTCCTTTCATGGTTCTTGGTGAAATGCTAAGCCATTTTGTATATAACCTAGTCACAATGATAAACTAAAGCTCTCCCTTTGGGGATGCCGGTTGAACTAACGATTGTAAGTTTCAAGCAAAGCACCTCCCTACCTAATAAGTATCATTGAAGTAAAGGTCTATTTTCCACTCCTTTAGGTGTATTGGGAATATAGGGCTAGATCTAAATTTGTATAGACCAATCGGCATGTGGTGGGTGATTTGGTCAGAATCAAGTCGGCCGCCTTTACTTTCCAGGACTGCCCCTATTACCTACTCAAAGCTGGGTCGACCTGGAAGTCAAGGTAATTTCTGGAGAAAAAAAAAGAGTCCGGAAGGTAAAAGTCCCTTTTCACGCCTTTAGGCGCATCGGACATATAGGAAGGGCACCTATATTTTTACAGACCAATCGGCACTAGGTGGGTAATGTGGTCAGCATTACGCCGGTTATCTTTAAAACCTCATCTGGACATACATCCTGGTACCCATTTTAGGCTGGGTTGACCTGCGAAGCCCCATACCATGATAAAATTCCACGCAGCCAGCAGTGGATTTCGCAAGGCCTAACCACGAACGCCGCGATAAGTATCATTGACGGTCATTCAATAATTTACTTTATATATAGTCTAGTAATATGCATGTCTAATTAAGGAGCTTCTTCTTCTTCTTCTTAGCGTTTACACTGCGCCAGAAAAGTATGATTATTCGTATATTTTAGGCTTTGGTCGAGTTCCAGAAGTTGAGTTTTACGTGCACATCCGTTTTACCGATCTGAAACATTAGTAATCAGACTTTTTGTTTTCTTGACTGTTGACTATGCAACCCGAATTCAAAAGAAACCGCTCTTTAATCGCCTTTTACATGTTTATTAGGGTGACAGTGAGTCTTTTTTTTTTTTTCTCTACACAAAAGAGTCTCGGAATGCACACGAGGAAGATAGGGAGCAAATATGATAATGAATACCTTTTCCTTCTTCTTCAGCATTCCGCGCCCTTACTTAAGGTTCATTGTTGCAGATTTCACCCGCCTCCATTCATCTCTCTGGTTGGTCTTTTATTTTCAATTGGTGACACAAAGTGTTGCAGGTCTGTCTAGATATTTTCTCTCCATCGTCTTCTTGGTCTGCCTCTACGACAATTCAACTCCCTTGTGTATACTATTTTTGCTTCTCTGTCATCTGACATTCTTTTAATTTGCCCCAACCATTTCAGTCTGTCAGTTCTCATGAATCCAGTGATCAGAAGTGATTTAAACAGATTATGAATTTCGTTGTAACTTCTCACTCTCAATTCACCGCTGCTTGCATCTTTAATGGGTCCAAAGATCGATAATGAAAAACAGATATAAAATATACTTACCGGCACTGCATAGAAGTAAAGTGCAACAGATAATAGCGGTTAACATGTTGGTTATCTGCTCTCTTGCTGAACTGAGATTACAATATCAAGGACGGGTTTCTGGAGAAAAGCAAGAAGTACTGTTAGAGACTGCAGAGAAAAGCAAGAAGTACTGTTAGAGACTGCAGAAAAAAAGCAAGAAGTACTGTTAGAGATTGCAGAGAAAAGCAAGAAGTACTGTTAGAGACTGCAGAGAAAAGAAAGAAGTACTGTTAGAGACTCTGCAGAGAAAAGCAAGAAGTACTGTTAGAGACTCTACAGAGAAAAGCAAGAAGTATTGTTAGAGACTCTACAGAGAAAAGAAAGAAGTACTGTTAGAGACTCTGCAGAGAAAAGAAAGAAATACTGTTAGAGACTGCAGAGAAAAAAAAGAAGTACTGTTAGAGACTGCATAGAAAAGCAAGAAGTACTGTTAGAGACTACAGAGAAAAGAAAGAAGTACTGTTAGAGACTCTGCAGAGAAAAGAAAGAAGTACTGTTAGAGACTCTGCAGAGAAAAGCAAGAAGTACTGTTAGAGACTGCAGAGAAAAGCAAGAAGTACTGTTAGAGACAGTAGAGAAAAGCAAAAAGTACTGTTAGAGACTCTGCAGAGAAAAGAAAGAAGTACTGTTAGAGGCTGCAGATAAAAGAAAGAAGTACTGTTAGAGACTCTGCAGAGAAAAGAAAGAAGTACTGTTAGAGACTGCAGAGAAAAGAAAGAAGTACTGTTAGAGACTCTGCAGAGAAAAGCAAGAAGTACTGTTAGAGACTCTACAGAGAAAAGCAAGAAGTATTGTTAGAGACTCTACAGAGAAAAGAAAGAAGTACTGTTAGAGACTCTACAGAGAAAAGCAAGAAGTACTGTTAGAGACTGCAGAGAAAAGAAAGAAGTACTGTTAGAGACTCTACAGAGAAAAGCAAGAAGTATTGTTAGAGACTCTACAGAGAAAAGCAAGAAGTATTGTTAAAGACTCTGCAGAGAAAAGCAAGAAGTACTGTTAGAGACTCTGCAGAGAAAAGCAAGAAGCATTGTTAGAGACTCTACAGAGAAAAGAAAGAAATACTGTTAGAGACTCTACAGAGAAAAGCAAGAAGTATTGTTAAAGACTCTGCAGAGAAAAAAAAAAGAAGTATTGTTAAAGACTGTGCAGAGAAAAGCAAGAAGTATTGTTACAGACTCTGCAGAGAAACGCAAGAAGTATTGTTAAAGACTGTGCAGAGAAAAGAAAGAAGTTTTGTTAAAGACTGTGCAGAGAAGAGCAAGAAGTATTGTTAAAGACTCTGCAGAGAAAAGAAAGAAGTACTGTTAAAGACTCTGCAGAGAAAAGAAAGAAGTACTGTTAAAGACTGTGCAGAGAAAAGAAAGAAGTACTGTTAAAGACTCTGCAGAGAAAAGAAAGAAGTACTGTTAAAGACTGTGCAGAGAAAAGAAAGAAGTACTGTTAAAGACTCTGCAGAGAAAAGAAAGAAGTACTGTTAAAGACTGTGCAGAGAAAAGAAAGAAGTACTGTTAAAGACTGTGCAGAGAAAAGAAAGAAGTATTGTTAAAGACTCTGCAGAGAAAATGTCAGAGTGACAGACAAGAGGGTGGAGAGTGCAAAATAGTGGGGCAAGTAGGGAGTAGGAAGTAAAGGCGGCCTGTGTGGACTGATATTCACTCACTAAGTGCAGATTGGTCTATAAAATTTAGGTCTAGTCCGATATGCCTAATATGCCTAAAGGAGTGCAATAGGGTCCTTAACTTGTTACTTTTACTTAGGTGGGGCAGAGTAAAGACAGAGTGATAGATATTGCAAGCCTGTAATATGTTCATATGCTCAGAAAGACCAAGCAATATAGAATGAATCTCCGTGCCATGAAGTTAATTATGTTATCCATGAAAAAAAATGTCTTCTGAACCTCGTTCCTTTAGAAAAATCTAACACGAAAGTAAGCCCTATTATGATTTTCAGGGTATTTTTAAAATAGCGGTGCCCAAAATATAAGCCTCAACTAAATTCGTCGGCTGGCCAGATGGTTGGATTTCAATCGTCCGTTGAGAGATGGACTTTCTGAGTTATTAAGCAATGCATGTATACAAACAATAAATGAATAATCATAACGATATGAATACTTTAAAGAATTATATATATATATATATATATATATATATATATATATATATATATATATATATATATATATATATATAATTCTTTAAAGTATATATATATATATTTATATGTGTGTGTGTGTGTGTGTATGTATGCATGTACATACATCTATAAAATGAGGGGTTTTTAAATACATAAGCATTCGTACTTGGGAACGATTTTTGAGCTTGTTTTTATGTGTATTTTATGTCTTAAAAAAATGATATGTATACTTTTAAAGAAATCTAGATTTGTTACATGAGAAAAACGAAACTCCTTTAAAAAGTTATAAGATCTCTTTTGGAGCAAACGTTAACAAAAGACCGGATTTAATTTTTTGGTGCATAACTACAAATGCGCGCTCTTGGGTGTCTGTATATATATATATACACACACATTAACGTACATGCGCGCGCACACACATGCACATATATATATATATACACACACACATAAATCCGTTAACATGTTTTGAAATGTCCATATACATAAATAAAACATTTACAGTTATAATATGTAATGATCGTACACAAAAACCAAAATTAAACCAAGGTACAAAGCTGATGAAACACCAAGGCAGACTACGCTTATATGGCATCACAGTAAATATTTATACAGGAACCATGCAGTCACTACCATATGTAGACAAGACAGATTATACGTTACATTTTGAGCTAAAGTAATTAATGGGTATTCTTTCCATTTATCAGAAGTAAATATGCACCCATGGCAGTTTTCACATATTGAAATTGTGTATGTAGAAGGTTGTAGATTTTGTTGGTTCTAACTGTATATCAACACTCTCCGTGTGATTTTTGTATCTTTTTTTTAAGGGGAAAAAAGAATAACACCACTGTCCCCCTTCCCCAAGACACATGTCGTAAGAAGCGACTAAGTAAGGTGTTGCTGAAACTGGATGTTCTGGGCCGAAATGTGCCGATTTCGCTGTCTAGATGAACGCAGCGACCTATCTTACCTGCTGAATTACAGCCAGCAGCTCAATCGAAATAATATGACATGCTACAGACATCCCTCACAACGGATGAAAACCATGGTTGAGTGAGTGAGTGTGTGTGTATGTATGTGTGTGTGTGAGTGTGTGTGTGTACGTATGTGAGTGTGTGTGTGAGTGTGTGAGTGTGTGTGTGTGTGCGTGTGTGAGTGTGCGTGCGTGTGTGCGCGCGCGCGTGTGTGTGAGTGTGTGTGTGCGTTTAATTTTATCATGTCGATGAGTTTTTACACTTGTGAATTAATATTGATTCCAAGATTATATTATCAAATGACGTTCACTGTGACCTGACCTTCACAGAACTCAACAACAGGGGTGCCACAACCTTTGGTCTTAGGCACCTTGAGCCCTCCTCCCCCTCCCACAACAAACTGTTAGAGATGAGGGCGTTGAGCACCCCACTAGCATATTTGTGAAGGGATTAAGTGGAAAAGTGGAAGGACAAATGAGATAAGAGCAGTTGGTTTTTGGACAGGATTGGAAGCGGTCAGAATGTACTGAGCTGAAGAATTGTCTTTGGAATGAATGTCCTCCGCGTCGTCAAAGCATTTGCGGTGTTGAATTCATGAGGGAAAGACGAACGGTTGCTAAATCTACATGACGGATGATTGGATCAAATGTTCGTCAAAATGAGAAGCCTGCAATGAAAAGTAAATGTTTTTGTGCTCGACGAAGAATCTTTTCTGCAATACTTTGTATCAGGCAGTTTCACAGTGACTAGGTACTGAGACTACCGGCTGGACTGTATTGTTGTTGGAACTGCAATTAACATTCGACCGACTCAAGTTGGTGTGATTTACATCATTGTGATCTAACTCACTTAACAAAATTGATGAAAGTTAGAAACAAGTACTGGCAGATTCAGTTAGAAACCAGGGACAACATCATCCCAGTTGCGTGTGTAGGTGTCTATATATATATATATATATATATATATATATATATATATATATATATATATAAACAGTTTTATACTAGTTTCAAACGTGTTATTACGAAGGATTACTTTCACTCCCCTGGCTCATCGGGCTCATGTTTAGATCAGGGGTCTCCAACCTTTTTCATATAGCCCCCCCCTTCCCACCCCAACCCTAAATTTACAAGTAGTGTTAATAGGAAGTTGAAGAAAAACATATACATAAATCAAAGGGTCAAGGGTTAAAAAAAAATCACATGAACAATTAAGACACCAAATATTGCCTTGTTTCCATCCATCTGAACCGCCAATCAGTTTCGTTTTTCCTCGTCTGATGACTCGACAGACACGTCAGAGTAGGGACGAATATTGACTTTCGGGTGAGTATCGATTAAAAAAGAATTAATGGAAAACATGACTAATTTTAAAAAAGGCCAGTTATGTAAGGGTATGTCGTATGAGGCGACTTAGGATAGGGTTGGGCTTAAGGTTGGCAACCTCATCTTGTAAAAACCATAGCCACAAAAACCAACCAACCATGGATAAGTCAAAAAGAGAAGCAAGTAAAACCCAGCCAACCAAGATGAGGGGAGGCTCTTCAAATAGAAGAAGTGTGTCACGGTGTGGAGAAAGCCGTAAGGAGTCCGGATCGTTGACTTACCTCCTCTCAGCTATGAAAACCTCCAGAATTGGCACCTGGAATGTTAGAACTCTCAATGATATAGAGAGAACAATGGAAGTAGCAAGGGATATGAAATATTATAGAATTAGTATTTTAGGGTTATAACTAGAATGTCTTTGCATTGGAACCCACAGGGGCATAGGAATAAAGGAAGACTAAATAACACGTAAAGAAGAGAGCTGGAGAATGACGTTATTAAGAAGGGGAGGACATGGGGAGAGCTCCATGCAATGGCGAAGGATAGAACGACTTGACGTGAGTTGGTTGAGGGCCTATGCTCCATTGGGG